GCTTGACAACGACAGTCATGGTTAGCCTCTTCCATGAGCAGAGACGTCTTCATCAGAAAGCTTTAGTTTGAAACTCTAGCTTCTATCCTCCAAATAGCTGGTCCTCTCTAGATCAGCTTGAATTTTAGATTAGAGCTTTTGAGTCAGATGAGTACAAGACTCGAGTTGGAGACTAAGCAGAGGATATTACTAAAAGACAGGAAAGTTAAAGCAATAAGGTTTGCAGTAGCACCAGATCGGCACAGACAAAGCAGAATGGCTTTTGAATGCAATATATATAAGACGAATGGAGTTATAGATGAGCAACCACCACTTTTTTCAAATGCCATCAAATCAACCAACTATAATACTTGCTAGCATGAAATGCCAACTAAATTATACCAGAATAAATGGTAACTACTTTTGTTATTATTCTCTAAACAAAATGCAAATGTGGAATATTGTGGAATTAGAAAAATGGTCATATCTTGTGAAACAGTCCTCTCTACTCCAGTTAGCCTTATCCTCAGGCAGATTTTAGTGATATGTTCTATTGAGACTGAATGATCTGAATTGGTCAAATTCAAAGCAACAAACTCCATAGCCAAACAAGTTCTTAGATATCTAAGGTAAAGGTTTTCTTGTTGATGGTATCAATATAAATGAAAAATGATAATAACTATGTTGATCATGACCTTGATAAGGAGCTCGAACTGCTTACTCTAGATACAAAAATTCATACATAAAACACGCTCGAATACCAAAGAAAACTAGTGGAAAAGAGAAAGCACTTTGTTCAATTTTATGTCCGTTCAAGGCATCATTTCTATCACATGGTATATTGAGAAAGGTCATCCCACCTCTACCTATCTACATAATTGTCCCAAACTTGAGCAAACAAGAGGGTCCAGGTAGGTAGTTTAACAGATAATACAAAACAAGGTTATATCAACAATGATAAAGGTTCTAGTGAACAGTGATTTTTAGGTACTTTGCATGATTAGTAACAAGGACAGAGGAATCGAAGATGTTGATATGGTTACGGTGAGTTAGACAAAATGTTACAAGTGCTATAAAACCTTTATATGACAAGATGGTACTACACCAAGTTGAAGGCAAATTCTACGGATGGATTGTTTAGAGCTCTGCTTAAGAAACTGAGATTAGGTTGATAAATGTTAAAGTGCCGAGGACATTAAAATGGAGACATGGCCACACTAGAATGTATGAAATCAGAAACAAAGATATACACCAAGTGGACATGGAGCCAATTGAGAACACATTAAGCAAAAGAACGACTTCATGGTCGGGGCTTGCCTTGCATAAACCTAACAAATCTTGGTTCATTAAGTTGAAGCGATTCCAGTAAAATAAGCTATATGAAAGAGATGTAGACTAAAACAAACATAGACTATCTGCTAGGTGTAAATAAGCATTTGCAAGTTCCAAGTCCAAAATCATTAAATCGAGTTGTAAATGGGCTGTGTTGATGGTTGTTAATACTTGATTATGTCATAAAAAAATCATGGAAGTGGAATAACTTGTCCTAGAACATGTATTATCGATGATCATCAAAAAGTTGCTTGAGAATAGTTTTCCAAATATATATGCTGGATAAACAGCCAAAAGATGCTCGAGCACATTTTCAGAACATGAGTGCTTGATGAACGTCCAGAAGGTGCTCAAGCACATTTTCCAGTACCGAGTATGCTCGATGAACGTCAAGATGGAGCTCGAGAACCCGTCGAGGAAAGGAAAACCTATTTCTCCTAATTCAACCTCTAAACACTCCTAAAGTACTTGGAACTGCGAA